GCGTGAGTTTAAGCCACTGGGTCCTGGACTTGAACCACAGTTGACTACATGGGCGTCCAGCGACATAGCCATTACAGCAACTGCTGGTCCCATTAAATGAATATTATATGATGTGAAGAACTTAGACTAAGATTTCAGCCACAGATAGTTATATAAATGATAAAATTCTGTCATTTATATTAAGCCAAACTATTTGTATTTCCTAAAAAACTATGATTATTTATACTTAGATACTTTGTCTTATTCAAATATAAGTGAAATGCTTTTATAAATACAAAGTAGAAGCATAGACGAGATTACGTATACATACATGAACATATATTTGAACTCGAGTTTTTTCTATCTCCATGCTTTTAGCACTATTTGTTAGGGAATAAAAGGAAGGAGAGCATTTGAAAGTTCAGGAATAAAATTTTAGGTGTGACAATTATAGTTGTAATAAAAAAATGCGATTAGCAGTTGTTGAGGAATTAGTTGGGTTGATTACTGTCACTATAAAAAAATATCAAGAAGAACATAGTAAAACATATCTTGGATACACACATTTGGCTGGCACTATTTTCACTTCCCATCTTACTCTAATAGTAGCAAAAATAGGACTTTATCTGCCTCAGCTGAACATCACCTCCTGATTTTTAAATTATATATGTACAAATATAGCTATTAGCCTGAAATGGGAATGCAATGTCGTCATATCAATTATATCTATTAAACAAAAAGGATATATTAGCTTCAGCATTATTAGCAAAGCATCAATCTTGAAGATTAGATTGTATGAAATGATGCAGCTATTAATATATTATATTTAACATATTCTGATGTTTCAATTTTAAAAGAGGATGAAAAAAAATTCTTACTATTCTATTTAGACTACTGAATATGCTAGAAATACATACAGGGTGCCAGACACACACCAGGTACGATGTTGTATATGTGCGTTTTGGTTAAGTTACCTCAATGGGACTATGAGGAAAATTCCAGACTTATTTGTGAGGAATAACTACTACTAATAAACTTGAATAGCTAGCCTTTATAAAGAATTTGAGTTGATTTTCACACTATTTATGATTTTACATTTTTTTCCAGTTGGCAAACATAACTGGCATTTCCTCACTTATTTCCTATGGAAATCCAAGCAAACGTGACTGTCATCATCAGTATGATAATTTTACATATAACAAGTTAAAACAATTCTTATTAGCCTAATCATATTTGCAGGACTGCACAGAACCACGTTCCACACAGATACTAAAGAATCTTACATTATTGCAGTATTCCTTCTCTTTCCTATTTTTATTATTTTTAGCTTTATTTAATTAATTAATTTATTTGACCAGAGATAAAGAAAGTGAGAAAGTAAGCCGCCAGGTCTGGGACTTGAATCGTGGTCGGCCATGTGAGAGTTCAGCACCCTTAACCACTATGCCACCTGATGGTCCCTCTTTCCTATTATTTTACTGGCTAACATATTTGAAATAGTTTACTTGCATTTTGGTTGTCCTACTGATTTCCTACTTCCTTATCTCCTATTAACTTTAAATTAATAATAGTTACTTACTGTATTCTGTGATGAATCTATGAGTAATCCAAAATTTTACTTTGGATAAGAAATTCAGAGCTAACACAATTAACAGCATGCGCTGGGCTTTAAATTCCAATCTAGAGGCAAATATGGTACCCCTTTTCTCTTCATCCTTAAGAGATGTCATATCATCACATGCCTTTATGGGAGGGTGTGTACTGTAGCATTTCTGAGCTGGTAGTGGTAGAGGGGTTAAGAACTTAACAGGTCAAACATCCTCGCTCTCTACCAATAAAGGAAGCTGAAACCTGGCCATTTAAAATAACTGGTAAAAAGTTTACTCAAAGCAAACAGTACATAAACAACAGATTTCAAAAGGAAATAGAAAAGACTACAGCAACAGATTCAAAATTAAAATGATGGAAATGATAACACTGCCGTGCACACAAGATCAGACCTCTTGTGACTAGACAAGTAGGTGTGTGTGAATGTGGGGCAACACGGTACCCACAGTGAGCGTTTAGGATTTTAACTGCAGAAAGCAGTTCTTCTGTTTCAGAGTGTGAAAATAGTTCCACAGAGGCTCATTGGTCTCTGAAATTTAAATATACAGACAGCAATTCTGCCTGGATGAAAATTAATGTATATTTGGAACCTTTTTCATAACCTCCGTATGAATAAAAGCGAATTCTGAATACTTGGGAAGCTTACTTTATCTATATGTAATAATATCACTAAGGGAGAGACGGAAGAATAGCAGAATGGAAAGAGAGTCATCACACACAGTCACCATTACCAAATCCCTGTATTTACCTGGTAGTATGGAGGCATTCTGCACTTCGTCCTCGTTTTGCTCTGGGCAGCATAAGAAGCTCACTGCACAGACAGGATGAGTGGTGAGTGAAACAGATAAATTATGAGGCATTAAATGACATGGGTTGTGCCGATGGTATGCCAATGAAAACATGAAAAGGGAAGAAACCAGATTGTCCGCACTAGCATATTTGCTTGAGAGGTTAAACAAAAATAAACATGACAGCATTTTAAAAATTTAAACAATAAAGTACAAACATTATGGTCAAAGTCCTAGCTGTTGCTGATTTGCTACTGTATTGTAAAGTAATTGTATAGAGTATCAAAACAAAACAAAATTAAACCTTGCCTAAATAGCCTATAGAGATCTATTTCCAATTACAGACATTGCCATGTTTTATGATTTTTAAAAGGCCTACATATTTGGCCTTTTTAAATACTAAAGGGAACCCCTAAAAGGTCTTCATTGTTTTTAGCAACTTATAGCATGATAATTTTCTTGGGTTTCACGGCCCACTGAAAATGCAGTATCATACTACATGTCTTCTTAACCAAGACTGTCCTTGATTATGACACTTTTTCTACATCCAAATTAATCTCACTCTATTAGAATGCCCTGGTCATGTAGCCCTTTGTTTTCTCTCCTCACTGAAACTCATGGTAGACAAAATAAATGCTGACAAAATAGCCCTCGTTCAACTTGAACTGAGAAGTATGTACCCTATTCCTAAACCTTCCTTGGCGCTCTTCGTGACTCCACTTAGCACAAGAGGGTGACACTTAGAGGAATATGAAGTTTTACTTGAGTGGCGTTCTAGGTTCCACAGCAAAAAAATCAATCATTCAGCACCATTATCACTTCCTTACTCCTCTTGGAAAATTTCCCCGTTTCAAAATGTCAGAAAAGAACATTCAAAAAGATGGGTGTTGTAAAGCTTGAAATCAGATTCTGAACTTGGGATCAGGCTTATCATACAGGTATATGTTTACTACGAGAAGAAAACCTATGGGTATGTAGAATCATAGATTCTTGATGGAGATTTACAGTAATTGTTTCCATAAAATATTTGATCATAAATCAGCACTAAACTTAAGTACATATCCATATAAAAAAGAAGCTTCTCAGTATTTTGTGCTTTATAGACACTATCTGGAAAGACATTTTATGAAAAGAGAGGTATATGACAAAATCATGATTATTTAAGTTCTTACAGAAACTCTGAAATATTAAGTACCTTTCAGGTGGCCCATATGCAAAATGTTTTTAATTACATAACATAATTTTTCTAATTTCATGAATGCTATCCCAAGCACTAGGACCCACAAAAACAACATATATGATAACTGCTTAAGAAGGCTCCTTTCTATAATTAAAGTCAGTATCTAAGATCACAATAAGCTGTACCTTTAATTTTGATTTTGTGAAAAAAATGCATATAACAAAATAATGAAAGCTAAAAATTTGTTACTGTATTATTTCTATTAGATTAGCATAACAGTTATTCCTTGAGAGCCATTCAGTTCTGGGTGATGAAATTCATTTACTCTCTAAAGTGTTATAACACAGTATCTGTATATATTAAAACAGAGCAAAGAGAAGTTTGTAGAGTTGAGATGATATTTTGGACAAGTACCTGTCTTGTTCTGATAAATACTGACTATCCACATCTCTGGATCTATGATCAGCTGGGCTTCGGGAGGCATCATGGTGTCTGGTTGGAGAACGTGACCTTCTTGTTGGATGGATTTCATCTAAACTCCTAGAATGATTACAAAAGTTAATATGTGTTAAATGTATCATTTTCACAAAACAGGTGGGCAGACTTAAGGGAAGGAATGAACAGTAGCTGGCAAACAACTCTCATGGATTGAAAAGTGTTGCCATCATAACCCAAACCTATTTTATCAAGACATTAAGGATATTCTTTTCTCTGAGTGTTTTGTCTGTACTGCATTTATCCAACCTTCTCTACATCTTTACCAAAAAAGAAACGCGATTTTATTCTGCACATTTTTGTTTTGTTTTTTTTTGGAGAGATTTTTTTGGCCATAGGGTGTGTGTGTGCTCGCCAGAAAGACAGAGACAGAAAGCGAGAAATCACCCCCAAGCAGAATGGACATGCCACAATCCCTTCTCCTCCATTCTCCTCTAGGGATGTTGGGCACACATGCACATGTGCCCAGCGTGAGTTTAAGTCACCGGGTCCAGAACTTGAACTGCGGTTAACTACAGGGGAGTCCAGCAATGTAGCCATTATGCCATCTGCTGGTCCCTATTCTGCACATTTAATTACAATTTCAAAAGTCTGTTTCATGGTCAGAAAGAATCAAGTATTATATTACATATGTCTTATTTATTTTTCCACGTATTTCAAGTAATTCAAAAAGACAACCCTAAATCTCTTAAAATTGCATTCTGCCTCTTAACCTTGTCCTTTTAGCCAATTCTATCCACAGTTCTGATTCATTACCATATCATTTCTCCTCACAGGAGATAAAATTAACAAACAGAACACAAAACAGTTATTCAAAAACTTGGAGAGTAAAGAACACAGTTTAGGTAATAGAAGAACAGCATCTCATTTACAAATGATTATGAATAAAGAACTTGATTGACCAAACCATTATTTCATTTCAGTTAGTCTTAAGACAATTCACATTATATTATCATTTTTTAGAAAGTACTGTCAGAGACACTGAAACTGCGTCAAAGCCTACCTCTGTAATGGCACATTTGGTAACCGTGAACGCGGCCTTCCCTGATCATCGCCACGATGAGGAGATACTGAACGTGAGCGGTGATGAGTAGTTCTTTGCTGTTCTGGCACAGTTAATGTTGTGGATTTACTTTCTCTAGCACTAGATCTATAACCTACTGGCGAGAATACACACACACAACATTAGTCCATGTTCTCCAATAATGCAAACATCAATGTGAAAGTATCAAATTGTATTAAAGCGGCCGTCAACCTAGTAATGTTAAATGCCATGCAATCAGTATTATTCGCCTTATCTTTGAGAGTAGGAGGTATACATACACAGAGTATAACTTGTACATGCATAAGGACAGGTTACACTTTAGCTCCAAGTACCACATAGATATTGACCAGGATAGTGGATGTCTCAGACACTCTGATGAGTTGGGATAGTATTTTAAAGAATGAATGAGTTAGTGACTTTTCAGCAACACAGATCAAGCACTTGGCAGTGAACAATAGTTAAAATACAAGTCAATGCTTAGAAATTTGCTGTCTCTTTAAATTTAAATAAATGCTAAACTCCTAAAATGATTACAGGAATTCATATGTGTCATAGGAATGGATTATATTATTTTCTAAAGGATAAATTATTTTACAAGAGTCACTGATGGGCTCACTTATAAGAAAATAAAAATGTTACAGCAGCAATTTAAATTATAAAAATAAAAATCATATATCAATTTTAACTAAAAAGAAGAATAGGGCAGGCCCCATAGCTTATTAGTTAAGGGAGCCAGATGCCACATGGCTGACTATGGTTTGAATCCTGGGTACACCAGCCTGAAAAACATATGTGTGTTCATGCCCAAAATTCTAATAGAATGGAGAAATGGAGGAGAGGGGATTACAGTATGAGCATGGTCCACTGGGAGATACTTTTACCCCTCTCTGTCTCTGTCTTTCCAACTCTCTCTGGCAGGTGCACATCTCCTTTAACAATAAAAGAAAAAGAGAGAAGAGTAGCAGTTCTTCACTATCACAAATACTGACTATAAATTTTGCAAATCACATAACACTGCAATTTTAAAATACAAATAGTATATAAGTGGAGATCACTATTGCAATAATGGAGAGAAAATTAACCCTCTCAAAGAATCAAACATCGGATATACCATGGACATCTAAAACTATTCCATAATTCTGTTATTTATTATTTATAATTCAGTTAACATAATTGTAATGAAAGGTAAATCCTAACAGTCACTTTGTCCTGAAGTAAAAAGGTTTATATCATTTCTGACTTAACTGAGATAAAAGTTTCAAATCCATAAAAACAATTTAGAGTACAATTTTTCCAGAAGGGTCATTGTTTTCTATTATTTCTATTCTATCTATGTAGCCAAAGGAAAAAATATTATATTTTCAACTACATAAAAGGTATATTATATGAATCATGAAAACATTAAACTGAGCAGCTCAAACTATTCTTTATTTATAACTAAAAAATTTTCATGTTATTTGTAAATATGCTGTCAAATATCATTATTAAAGGCAGACAACATTCTCGAGTGGTTTGTTGTGACTGCATGATTGTACGACAAAGTAGAGAAATGTCTTTAAATATTTCATAAGCTGAAATTTGACAATATAGAAACCAAGGAAACTTAATCACTTTCTCACTCTAAAAAAATTTGTATAATGACCAAAAATAACCACATATCTTATAACTGATAATTTCATATCTTTTTACCACGCTATGAATTAACAGCAATGAAGCTCTTACTTTTAGTTTTGTGCAACAGAAGTTTTTGTTGTTTAAGTGTATAAGGTATGATATTAAGGTTAGAAAGTCCAGCTATATGGACATGAAGCAAAGATATTTCATAGCTTAGTATTAACAAAATGATGACTGTCTTTCAAAATAATTATTTAAAGTTTTGAACTACTTAAACATGAAACATTTACATTTGGTATCAATTAGACAATAATTATGAAAGGTCAATATTACATTGAGAGCACCATTTTGCAATGTGAAAAAGTACTCAAGGAATATAAATAAATTTTGTATAATAATTATGAAACAAATTTTAGAGAATGTAGACATCTGCTGTAAAAAGTATAAAATTAATTTTTCTTGGCATCTCTGTCATTAAATAGAAATTAAATCCTTTTCTATACTGTTATTAAGGAACACAAGGAAAACAAGTGATATCCTGAAGTTTTTTTATATAACAATTTTTTATGTAAATTTTTCAAAATTCACCAAAAAGTTCTGAATTTCAAAAGAGAATATACTGAAGGCAATGTAATACTATTTTGGTGACTCCCAGCCAGGGAATGTCATTTGTATGCTGTAATATTCAAAGTTTTAACATTTGACTCTATACTTTACTCATGCTATATAAATAATCATTTACAGTTCCTTGCTTTTAACAACAATTTGGTTTACTCATATTAATTTGTTGACAACACATGTTCAACCTTCAGAGCCATGTGTGAGAGAGAACTGTTATTTTATGCTCATTTCAATGTTTTATTTGGCTCAGAGTTAGAGGTTAGAGTCATTTTTCTAGCCATTTTCTGAATTTCCTGTAATGATCTGAAAAGTTAAGGTTGCCAGATGTCTTGCCTTAGATGAGAAAGTTCTGTATATGGTTATTTTTATTCTTCCCAAGCAGCTAAATTTATTTATGTTCAATAAGAAGGCTTATTGAACTATATAACTATATAGCAAATAAAATGCAGCTCTGGTAGTCTCAACGGTTTATACCTTTTCAGGTCAGAACTTGAAGTGAAAAAGGTATAAATACACTGAAAAAAGAACAAAGAATTCCACATTCTTGAAAAGCCAAGGTATTGGTAGTTTAAGATCTGACTGTGGTAGAACATTTCAAATTAAGCTTTTGAGCTTCTTTTAGGGCATATACAACAAGGAACATCACTGAGTGTATTAAAGATAAAGAGCTGGCATCCACATCTACACACATTTTCCCTTTATACTGGATGCTAGAGAGTATAGAAGAAAATTTGTAATCAATTCTAAAAATGAATGAGAATGCCTCACATGTGCTTAGTAACCTACCCCCTTAGTTTAACTTCTTACCTATTTTACCAGAGCCACCTCTTTCATGTGTATTTAAAATGATATTACTGTTTGACTTGCTATATTATATTTGCCACATATAAGTGCCTTGAAGACTACCATATATCCATATATTGGATCAAGGAAGAGTACATCTGAAAATTCATATAAATTTCAGGATTCTCTCTATTAATTTATAAAGATACCTCTAAAATAACATAACACTAGTGATGTAAGTTATTATTTATGTTCTATTTAACACTTGGCTCATTACCTTTCTAAATACTAACTAAAAATGAACAGTACATTTGAAATGACAATTTAGACACTGTTTCTGTATAATATAAGAGATTACACATGTTTGGAAATGCAATCAGGAAAATAGCATATTTCAGTATAGAAGTATATTTAAAATGTAGTGTTCTTTGATGGTGCCCAAGCACTTATCTGAGCTGAGATAGATCCTGCGACTCTAGTTTGATATCTCAGAAGCTGCTATCCAAGTGATCTCAGAGAAAGAAGAAACTCATCACTTTAGTATTTTATTGGCCATTTTTTAATTCATTCATTCACTCTCCTACCTCATCATAAAAGAATATATTTCAGGTAAACCAAATGTGAAAACCATCTACATTAGTAAATTCTATTTAAGTAAGTTGGTAATGATAACATTACACTGATTAATAGCCAAGATTCTTATGAGGCTGGTAACTTTCCTTACAATTTCCATTTGAATATGCCAATGGATTAAAATGGATAGTCATTTTCTTCTTTTCAATTTCATTAAAACAAAGAACATGCTATTACATCTTCTCTTAAAGTTTCCATCAAAAATGTATGTAATTAATATCCCCCTTTAAGGAAAAAGAAAAGCAGAAGTCAAATATAAAATGCCATCTATTATTATTCAAAACTCCCACTGATACTCTGATATCAAAGATTATCTAAATCTAAATATATACATGTGCAAAGCTCTAGAATTATTGTTGTGACAACACTTGATACTTTCACATAGTGATTAAATACTACATGAGAATACTTCAAAAAAGTTCATGGAAAATTCATATTATGAAAAGTTTATTAATAGATTTAAAATTTTTATTACAGCAAAATAAATTTGTACTTTGTTTCCACGTTTCCATGAACTTTTTGAAGTACTCGCATACTTTATATAAATTATAGAGAGCAAAAGAAACTTGATTTTAGAAATCTCTTCATAATCTCCTCCAGTTGCAATGAAAGTGCAAATTTTTTTAAAGAATTATTCATTCATTTATTTTAACTTGATCAGAGAGAGACACAGAGAGAGAAAGAAAGAAAGAGAGAAAAAGACGCCAGATCCAGGAATCGAACCATGGTTGGCTATGGGGAGTGTCCAGTGCCTTAACCACCACGTCCCCTGCTGGTCTCAGAAGGCGTAAATGAAGGACTAAATTGTGAACTTAGTCAACAAATCAGTATCTATATTTTTTTTATCAATTTCATTGCTTTTGAATTAAGCACATCTCCATCTACGACACTGCGTGAATTAAATTAAGGTGATAATGTTAATACTGCCTTTAATAATTCATATTTATATGTCTAGCTTTTTCTCTTTTATTTCTTATTTTTTTAATATTTACTTTCCTTTTATCAGTAGATCAAGAAAACAATAAAAGATTGATTTTAAAAAGTGAGCATTTTTAAGTATTTTCCTGACAAAAATCAAATGAGAAACAGATTTTGAACTGTACAATGTCAAAAAAATTACTAACTTATGTAATGACAAAAAGAGGTTGATTTCAAATTGATAGTGACTCTTTCTAAAGCATTTTCTTATTTTGAAATACGTACACACATTATAGGTATAATCAGTAGTGAACACATCACAAAAGCATTAAAAGTTAAAGCCATGCCGCATGCAATTTTAAACCCTGCCATGCACTTCTCTCAGTATATTCCATGGAAGGCTACATTCTTTTAAGAAATGGAGAAAGAGAAATGATAGAAATACAATATAAAAACAGGATAATGAAATTTATATTTATTAAAATTAACCACATCCTTTCAAAATGAAATTGTGTTTTCACTTATGCACAGAGCACTGTGAAACGATTTGTTTCACCTAGCTAGCAAAGCTTCTAAGGAAGAATCTGACCAAATCAAATAAATGGGGATGCTAATTAACAGATCCTAGGTCATTGTAAGTTTTCTTAACAATTTGAAACGCAAGTCACCATGGAATAATATAATACTGATTTCTCTAAGCTATAAATCTCCAGTTCAATATCCCCAAGAAGGCTAGGAGTTGACAGTGAAGACAAGCAAAGAAGCACAGTGAAGCAGAGCCATGCTCTTCACCCACGCACCTGGAGGAACTACTCCAATACCATCATCAACCTCATAATCTGAGATGTCACTATCACTGATTCGCTGAGATCCTGCACAATAGTAAAGCAAACAGATACCTCTGTGTCTGGTTGGCTTATGAAATGTAAAGGACAAGGTCAAATTTTATTTAAAATTTTATTACTTGATACGTTTGAACAAAAATAATACAGAGTAAATGCTGTGTTTAGTCTTGAAGAAATGTTTGTTTTCTAGAGGTGACATTTTCTAAGTATTTCCTATTATGACATTACACTGAAGACACATAGGAACAAAAGGACTGTATAGAATAAGATTTTGATTTTTCAGATTACTCTGCATAAAATAGTATACTAAATGTCTATAGCTAAGTATACTCACTCTTTCTTATACAATTAAGTGCCCTCTGTAATCTCTGAAAAGATCGGGCTGAGTGTAAAAGGTTCAAAAAGATCTTTCTGGACTGAAGTTCTATTGAGTTTATATTATTGAAAGGGCATCAGGGCCCTTTATAAAGTATGTTTAGCTCCCAAAATTAGTCATTATACTACATTAAATATTAAGTGTGAGAGGCCAACTGGTGACGTGGGTGTTAAGGGTGCTGAACTCCCACATGGCCAACCAGGGAGTGAGTCCTGGACCTTTCGGCTTGCTTTCTCACTTTCTCTCACTCTTTCTCTCTCTCTGCCCCTCTTTGGTCAAATTTTAAAAAATAAATAAAGTTAAAGAAAATATTTTTAAAAAATTAGGTTTGAGAAAAAAGTTGATCAGGGAATTGCCAACATGAAATACTCAATTACATAGGAAAAATCATTTGGTTACAGATTATCAAAATGAAGCTTCTAGATTTTAGTTGTTTAAGATCTAGACATAAAAAAGTACTGGAAGGATAAAGAAAATATTTTCCCTAATCACCATAAATAACAATAAACATGTTTTCCAAAAATTTTTAAAGTTTTTTTCCAAAAGGCAGTGTGCACTTGTCGAAGAGAAACAGGGACAGAGAGAAAAAAATCACCCTCCAGGGGGGATGGCCATACCACAGTCCTTTCTCCATTCTCCTCTGGGATTTTAGGCACACACGCACATACACCTGGGATGATTTTAAAGCTGCTGGATTCGGGTCTCAAATAGCACTCGGCCATGTGGGAGTCCACTCTGATAACCTGCTGGCCTAGCCAATGTGTTAAAAATTTTTATAAGTGGGACTAGCAACTAGTGTAGCGGTTATGCTGCTGGAATCCCATGTAGTCGACAGCGGTTCAAGTCCTGGACCTGGTGGCTTAAACACGCTGGGCACATGTGCGTGCGTGCCCAAGAACCTGAGAGGAGAAAGAAAGAGAAGGGATTGCAGGGTGGCCATCCCCCATGGGGGGTGATTTCTCACTTTCTGTCTCTTTGTCTCTCCTCTGTCTTTATGGTGAGCACCCAAGCCCTACAGCAAAAAACTCTCAAAAAAACACAATTTCTTATAAGTAATAGTGTTAAAAATACTTGGTGCTGACAGGTGATGTGGTGGTAAAGGGTGCTAGACTCCCACATCGCCAACTAAGGTTTGAGTCCCGGACCTGGTGACTTGCTTTCTCACTTTCCCTATCTCCTTCTGTCTGTCTCTGATCAAACTAGAAAATAATAATAATAATAAAGTTAAATAAGAAATAATTATAAAAAAAAGGGAAAATACTCATGAGGGGCCCAGTAGGTGATATGATGATTAGGGTGCTGACTCCCACATGGCTGACCACAGTTCAAGTCCCAGACCTGGTTGCTTGCTCACTTTCCCTCTCTCTGGTGAGTGCATATGCCCCATAGCAAATTAAAATAATAATAATAATAACAACAAATCAAATTAAATTAAATAATTCTTAAAAATATACTTATGACTTATAAAGTTATTAAGACCTTATATATACAAATCATCAGTCAACCAATCAACAACTCAGTCAGTCCTGTGACAGAATTATAATTCAGAGTTTTCCAGCTTTAAGCTCTGGAATTACTCTACTATGTTATCTATATTATCTTCATTGTGAGAATGTAGAAAATGGTTTTGCTGAGTCTCTTTATATAGGTGAACAATTTTCTAATATTTTAGTCTCTAATAAAGTACTTGGAAAAATATTTTTGATGTTAATCTCTGCAATATGATTACTTCCTGGTAACCCAAAAGACCTTCACCTACTTTGTAGCTTTTTGCTAGAGCTGTCCCCGTGAATGTGTCGCCTTGGCATAAAAGGTGATGGCTGAGGCAGAGGTAGTGAAGATTCATCATGAGTCTGAAGTTTATACCAATGCGGTTCATCATCTAAAAGTGCTGTCTCCAGTTCTATGAGGATCTGAAAGAACAGTTCTCAAATCAAATCAAGCACCTTTTGGTAAATGCATAATGTAAAAGCAGTCACAATAAATACATATCAAGACATTCATTAAGCATTTGACTTGAATCTTTACAATATACGTCACCTCTCCAAGAAACTCGCTCTCTTCTTCTTGCACTCTTGGTTGATCCCACACAGTTATTTCTAACATCCGTTCTCTAAAATCTCTACGATGTACATGTGAATAGACAAAAGTTTGATTCCATTTTGGTTCTAGTACTTTCTTTACTGTTTTGGTCCTCCTTTTACTTTTATCACTGAAAAATAAGTATGTTTTGTAAATAGGAAGTAAAAAACAATTACATGCTGCCATCTACTGTAATAACATAGTACATGTAGTTCTGCTGTTTGTATTTGTGCTACTTTAACTTATATCTTAATTATAAAAATCTAAAAAGACTGCACATTTTAATACTGTTACAATTCAATTACAGTGCAAAGGCAGTAGTTATGATGACAGGCACACACATACAAAGACATACTCTAAATGATATACCACAATTGATATGTTAATTAATACTTTTCCTTTTATCTTTTTTTAAGGTTTTAGACATAGGGTGCGTGCACTCACCAGACAGAGAAAGAGAGAGTGAGAGGGAAAGTGAGAAACCATCCCCCACAGAGAATGACCACATTGCAATCCCTTCATTCTCCTCCTAGGATTTTGGGCAAGCACACACATTTACCCAGTGTGATTTTCAAGTCACCAAGTCTGGAACTTGAACCACAATCAGCCATGTGGGAATCTAGTACTCTAACTACTATGCCTCCCCACTAGTCCTGCTAATGAATATTTTAAAAATTGGCAGGTTATTTTCACATAAAGACAAAGCTGGAGGGCTTTTTTTTAAGGGATAACATATGGTGGGCAAGCACACACATTTACCCAGTGTGATTTTCAAGTCACCAAGTCTGGAACTTGAACCACAATCAGCCATGTGGGAATCTAGTACTCTAACTACTATGCCTCCCCACTAGTCCTGCTAATGAATATTTTAAAAATTGGCAGGTTATTTTCACATAAAGACAAAGCTGGAGGGCTTTTTTTTAAGGGATAACATATGGCATAATTTACATAAAGACAAAGCTGGAGGGCTTTTTTTTAAAGGGATAACAGAGAACATAATTTATCCCCTCAGAATGAAGTATATATTACATTTAAAAAATAAATCTCAGAAGAGGAAATTCTCTGTTTTTTAATAGTATAGATATAAGTGTATTTTTTCTAAAATCATTCACTACCTTCTATCTGGAAGAAAATACATTTTTACATAGGGATTCCGGGGACGCCCGTCTACTCTTGGGGGCAGATCCGTTGCTTGTAGAACATTTACAATCAGCTGGTGTCCCACTTTATCATACCATAGCTTTACCTGAAAGCAATGCAGAAAGTAACTATTATTATTATAACTTTAATTAAAATAATACTAAAATTGTATTTTTAAAAAAAAAAATATATATATATATATATTTCTGGAGGTTTTTGCTATAGGGCACATGCACTCGCCAGAAAGACAGAGAGAGACAGAAAGTGAGAAATCACTCCCCAGAGGGGTTGGCCACACCGCAATCCCTTCTCCTCCATTCTCCTCTCGGGATCTTGGGCACACATGCACATGTGCCCAGCATGAGTTTAAGCCACTGGCTCCAGGACTCAAACTGCGATCGACTACATGGGAGTTCAGAGACATAGCCATTACGCTAACTTCTGGTCCCTGAAAAAATATTTTTAAGTACATTTATTTATTTATTTCAAGAGAGGGAGAAAAAGAAAGAGAGCCAAGAACCCCTGACAGGATCTTGCACTCCTCCTGGCAGCCTTCCAGTTAGCCAGGATCAAAAGCATAGCATCTGACTTCGCCCTGAAAACCAAACCCAGGGCCTTCCCACAGGCTCCAGTATCATGCGGTTGTGCTCTAACACCTGTGCCTGAAGAAAGCATGACTTGCAATATAAGGGAATTACAGCTATTACTTCTGAAAAGAATACCAGTTTGAAAATATAACTACTTAAAATGACTTTTCTCTTTGAATGTTTTAAACATAACTAAAACTGGCATGCTTTAGTGTTAACTTACTCTACTCCATCAATGCTATGAAAATAAAACTAATAGTAATATTAAACAAACACTAAGGGAAAAGGGTGATATAAAAATCATTACTCTTATTTTGAAATACTAAATACAAGTATTTTTATTGTTTTAGAGAGATTTTTGCTATAGGGCATGTGCATTCTCCAGAGACAGAAAGAGAAAGAGAAAAAAAAAGAAATCACCCCCACCCTGGGGGGATCGGTGACGTTGCAATCCCTTCTCATCAATTCTCCTCTCAGGATTTTGGGCACACACACACACACACACATGATCCCAGGATGAGTTTTAAGCTGCTGGGTGAGGGACTCGAACCATGGTCAACTACATGGGAGTCCAACAATGTAACCATTACACCATCTGCCTTTTCCTAAATACAAGTATCTTGACTACAGTGTGGCTCAAAGAATTTTCTAATACCATAGGTAACTGAAATAAAACAAGATTTTCAATATTAAGAATAAGATATACAAGGGATTTGATAAGGAAATACATATTTACAGTTTTTATACCAGGCATTGCTAAGTGATAAGGCATTTTTCTCAGTTAATTTTTATAATCAACCTTACTATCATTAAGAAAAGAGAGAATCTCTCTGTCTCTGTCTGGCGAGCGCATGCACCCTATAGCAAAAACCTCTCCAAAAAAAAAAAGAAAGAAAAGAGAGAAAGAACAAGGGTGAGCTCAATACATAAATGAGACTTTCAAACTATGTGGAGGCCAAAGTATATTTCTACTAAGATTTCATTATAGCTAAAGAAAAATAGCAATATAACACAGTAAAATTCTACTTTCCAACTCCTAAGAAATCAAACTTCAGTAGTCACTACCATATTTATGCCGGGGGTGGTAATAATGCATTAAAATAACTATGTTAACTTTTAAAGTTTTCTTTTAATTTAGAAGGTATTTTTTTTTAATTTTGTTATTAAAAAGTATAAGCATACATTGTTAATGGGTATATGTTAAACCATATCTAAGAGTCCTAATAAAATAAACTAGTTTAACATGGGATTGGATTCACGTGGAACAGGACAGATTAAGAATTCAAAAGTTGGGATCAACAGAGAAGGTATTGGTTACGTAACTGGACTTCCACATAGTCCACCACAGTTCAAATCCCAGACCCAGTGGCTTAAAACTCACACTGGGAACATGTGCATGCATGCCCAAAATCCCAAGAGGAGAATAGAGAAGGACTTGCGGTGTGACCGCCCCCTTGAGGGGTGATTTCTTGCTTTCTGGCTCTTTGTCTGTCTTTGTCTCTCCAGTGAATGCACATGTCCTATAGCAAAAATCTCTCTTTTAAAAAAATAAAAAAAGGAATTCAAACCTGGTTAGCATTGGGGACAAGAGGATGGCATAATGGTTCAAGCGCCGGACTTGGCAATTTGAAACTCATACTGGGCATATGTGCATACATGTCCAGGATCCAAAGAGGAGAATGAAGGAAAAGAGATTGTAGTGTGGCCATTCTCCCCTGGGAGGTGATTTCTTGATTTTTGTCTCTCTGTGTCTGTGTCTCCAGAGAGCACATGCACCCTACAGCAAAAATCTCTCATAAAAATAAATAAATAAAAGAATTCGATCCTTGATTAGTATGACTCCATCTCTCTATTTCCCAATTAATACCAGAAATGTGTTTTTCATAAAACCAAAATGGATTTCAGCCTCTTTTTAAAAAGCCAATGGAAAATACGAGAGATTCAAACACACACTGAAAATAAAAGATGTCAGAGCAGATAACTTAAACACATGGACCATCTAAAGATATTCGATATATCAAAAGTAGAAGCTAAAAACCAAGAAACCTTTTGAGAATATTGTAACCTAACAGCTATTTTTGTTGTCTCATTTTAATCAAGAGAAGAGGGGCAGTAAAGACTTGAAAGACACATATCATCAAAGGAGCAAAACAGTAACTATTGTAGAGTAAGTAGAAGCAAGGTTTTCTTCTTAGTTATTAAGACACTTGTCCCACTTCCTCCATAATATACACAGAGGTGGCTCTTCTTAACAGTTAGTCATGGTTTCTTTCCTCCTGTTCTCCTCAGATCATATAATAAGGCATTAGTGATGAGAGCAGCATCCTATCTGTGGCAATGAAGGATTTTAACAAATGTTTTAGGACATTAAAAAGAAAACTTTAAATTTAAGTTACTCAGGCTCCAGGCTCATAAGGTTGTTAAGTAAATGGACTTTCTAAGATTATTATGTGTGAACAATTATTCACCCTAGAAATTTTTATATAGCATACCAAAAATATTGGATATTTTATTCACTCATATTACCATTTTTTCAATGAATGTTCAGAGCATCCAGCACATTGCAGCCATTCAATAAATAGTTCTGAATAAATCCATTAGTAAGGAATAAATGAAGAGATGCATGAAAATTGGTGAAGTCAATCATGGTATCAAATGACTACATTTTTCCACATTTCTAAAGGGCACTATATAGTATTAGTTCATCGAAGGCTTGAGAAAAGCTAGAAAGTTTTAAAGACGTTTTTGGTCAGTAAGCAAACACTAATTTTCTCCAACATGTACACAAAATACATACAGAGAGTTGCCCTGGTAAGACTTGCGGGGCATCTTTCAGAGCTCCAGGACTTGTTGGAGAAATAACAGAAATGGAAGGCCTTTCCATCTTCTGAGATTCAAAGGAACTGGAACCTAAAATGAGAAAAAAAATTAAAGCAATATTTACAAATGTAGAAAAATATTTTAATAAAATGTTAAATGTATCTGTAATTTTATGAACCCATAATTTAAAAAAAAAATTTTTTTTAGTCTTTTTTTTTTGGAGAGGCTTTTGCTATAGGGCGCATGCGCTCGCCAAAAAGACAGAGAGAGACAGCGAGACAGAAAGCGAGAAATCACCCCCTGGGGAGAAGGCCACGCTACAATCCCTTTTCCTCCATTCTCCTCTCGGGATCTTGGGCACGCACGCACATGCGCCTAGCATGAATTTAACGGGTCTGGGACTCAAACAACAGTCGGCTACATGGCAGTTGAGTGACGCAGTGCTACATTAAGTGCTGGCCCCAACCCATGATTATTAACACGAATAACAGAACCTCACAAAGAAGCACAGCAATTAAATGCAACTGAAATAAATTTTAAAAAACAGAACTTACTTTCATTTTTAAAAAACTGTATTTATTTCATAAGGGAGAGAGAGACAGAGAGAAAGAGAAAAAAACAAGAGGCAAAGACAGACAGAAAGAGAAAAGAGGGGACTCATGACAGGGTTTTTATACTACTTTCCAACCCTATCCTCAGCCAGCCCAGATCACAGACCTGCATGCATCCAGCACATGCCGGGAGGCCTTGAGATGTGAACCTAAGACCTTCCTACGTGGCATATCTCGGAGTATTGTGTAATCACTGAACCATGGTAACTGGACAGAACCTACTGTAAATGGTTGTAGAAAGTTATTATCTTGTCTTCTTTTTCTAACTGCCTTTTCAAAGACATTTAAAATGATACTACAAGATGTTCTATTTGTTTCAATCTAAAATATTTTTTTTGGAGAGTTTATTGTTGTGCCAGAAAGACAGAGAGAGACAGAGACAGAAAGCGAGAAATCACTCCCCAGGAGGGATGGCCACACAACAATCCCTTCTCCTCCATTCTCCTCTTGGGATCTTGGGCATGCACGCACATGCGCCCAGTGTGAGTTTAAGCCACTGGGTCCAGGACTTGAATCGCCATCGACCACAGGGTAGTCCAGGAACATAGCCATTACACCAACTGCTGGTTCCTCAATCTACAATATTTCTAAAGAATAATTTATTTAATTGTATTTATTATTGTTATTATTTTAAAATTTTCTATAGGGCACATGCACTTGTCAGAGAGAGAGAGAGAGAGAGAGAGAGAGGAAAAATGAGAAAACAAACCACCAGGGTCCGGGATTTGAACCACAGTTGGCTATGTGGGAAATCTAGCTCCTTAACCACTATGTCACCTGCTGGCCCCCTCAATTTGAAAATATTAACTTTCTATATTTCTGGAGAGCACTGTACTGCATTGGCTCTTGCATAACTTCACATATAGGTAAAGGTTTCATATTTTAGTTGTAATAAAAATAGATCCTGTTATATTAAATTTATTAGCTAATGGGTCTTCTATTACAAATTGTCTTAACTAGAAATTATAATAAATGCAAATGTATATATGTATATATGTGTATATATGTATATATACATTTACATTTATAAGCCACATCTAAGTCTAGATTTCATCATTGTTTTAAATAAGATTTACCTTGGGGCCAGCAGGTAGCATTGTGGTTGAAGCACTAGACCCTCAAGGGCCAACTGCAGTTCAAACCCTAGATCTGGTATCTTGTTTTCTCACTGACTCTCTTTCTCCCTCTCTTTCTGTCTCTGTCTCTCTCTCTCGGATAAGTGCATGTATCCTATACCAAATTTAAAAAGAATAATAATAATAATAAATAAAATAAAATAAATATTTTTTTTAAAAAAAGCAGATGTACCTCTTAGTTCTCAGTTTACAAATGAATCTGTCCAATTTCTGAGAATGCTGTTTCTAGTAAAAGTAAGTTTCTTTACAGAAGAGGCAGGATCTCCTCTCACTCAGTGAGTCTCTTCAGCATTAAAATGTATCCTGACACATACAGCACTACACGATGTCTAAAGGGAAGTATAACCTTGAACTCACAGCCATTCAAAATTTAGCAAATGCTTCATTGAAAAGTACTATTTACCAGCATTTCCTGAATATATGTCATCCATACATTTTTTTCTATACTCATAAATTAAGTCTAAATTAAGCCACATGCCCCATTTTGTGTCCTCCAAAGATGACTTTTCATTGTAAGAAATAGCACTACAAAATGCTTTTTAGTGTTTCTTTTCTCAAACATCTTTAGTATCATTTTTTTTCTCCCCAGCTGGAGAGCACATGCACATGAGAGAGAGAGAGCATCTCTTGACAAGGCATGGTCACCCTGTGGTCATTTACCTTTCACTCTCTATGCCAACAGGAACTGGACATGCATTCTTATGTGCCAGGGGTGATATTTAAGCTGCCAGAACCTCAATATGAATTGCAACAGGCTACGTGGGGTCCAGCTTCCTATGCACAGAACTTAACTATTAATGTTCTGAGTCCAACCCATCCATTTTCATATATCTTTATGCTACTGTTTTCCCTTAGGTCTCAGAGTAGGAACATTGTTACTTCCACAACCAGTGTCTTTCTAATAGCAATCTGATTTTTAAAATAATATCAATACTACAAATTATGCAGCTAGTCCCATTTCCCTCTTCATGCTGGTCACCAGAAGTCCCAAAGCCAAATCTAAACCCATCTCTGGCAAGAATGCAGAACCTGATGAGTTATATTTTATATGTGAACATAGTCTCTAGTTTTGTCTTATCATATTCATGTATTTTCTTCTCCCTTCTGGGCATTATCACTTTAAATCACCTTGCATTTTATATTCCTGTAAGTTATATTCTGTAATAATACCTGGGGAGTCAAGTCCAAGTATCAATTTGATACTGATCCATTGTGAAGTAAATGTTTGGGTCACATCACATTATTGTTGAAACCTTCATTACTTGTGTATATTTTATTACACTGATCATCATCTCTCATTTAAGCAACTAATTCTTATGTAGATAATTCTTGCAACTGTCTAGCCTCACAGTCCTTTGACCCCCTTATGTTCACCGAATGTTAGCACTATTCAACCCACTAATCCACTGATTTCCAGGACCATATTCTACACTCTGTTATGTGGTATTACAATTACGGTTATTTGCTTTTCGTTTTATTATTTTTTTAATTTGCTATAGGGCAAGTGCATTCACTGGAGACACACACACATAAACACACACACACACACACACACACACACACACACACATACAAAGAGAGACACACACACAGTAAGAAATTATTAGAGATGGCCACGCCACAATCCCTTCTCCCCCATTCTTCACTAGGGATTTTGGGCCTGCAACACATGTGCCCAGGTCAAGCCACTGTTGGGTTCTGGACTCAAATCACGTAGCCAGCCATGTGGGACCTACTGTCTTAAACAGCATGCCTCTTGGCTGGCTCAATCCTAGCTATTTGCTAATGTGCCTATTTCTTTCACTATACTGCTCGTGAAACTGATCTGATTACAAAACTCAGTAATCCAGTATGGCAATAAATCTTTATGTAAAACTAATATAACTATTAATAGCATATTAGCTGAGCTCAGTGGAATCCTGGACTGTTACAATACAGAAGGGTAATGCCAGTAAAAATTTGTGTATTGTCACACACACACGCACACATGCAAGTAGAAAAAAATCTTAAAGTGGAATTTCTTTAGGGTCCCAATGAATGCCATGATCAACAACTTCAGGTGCCAGCGAGATAACCTCAGAAACATCCTTAGGAAAGTAATAGCAATTCACTTATATCAAATAACTAAAGAAAATGGTAGGGCCAGTAGATGGCATAGTGGTTAAGGCACTGGACTCCCACATGGTTGATCACTGATCGAGTCATGGACCCAGTGGCTTGACACATGCCAGGTGTATGTGCATGCGTGACCAAAATCCCCAGAAATGTAGGAAAAGGGATTGTACTGTGGCCAACCCCCCTCATGGGGTGATTTCTCATTTTCTCTCTCTGTGTCTCCCTGGTAAACACATGCACCCTAAAGCAAAAAAAAAAAAATCTCTTTACAAAATGGTAAATACCTACTCTTTAATTTAGTATAAGATATTTTAAAATAACACAAAAATGTTATTATACTCACTGGACTCCAGTGGAGGATGGGAGCTTTCAGGAATCCGGGGAATATCACTAAAAGAAATAGTATATGGTGAAAATCTCATTAGCTAAACTGCCCTGCCTGAGGCAATCATAGCTCATTCTATTTCAGTGATGTGAAAAATCCTTTTGGGTCTTTACAGGTGTGGAAATGGACAGGAGTAACCATTAAGGGAACTACTGATGTGCATGAATGTCAAACACCACACGCACACACACACAAAGAAAAAAATTGCAGAAAAACAAGTTTCTATATTTTTAATAGCAAAACACTTTAACATGACAACAATCAGACTAATATTGTGGCTAAAATCACCACAATATTTTTACTACCAAAACAGTAGGTTTTGGAAATAAAAAAATGTTAAAGGTAATAGTTTACTTCAGTCTAGAAAATCAAAATGACACAGAGTTTACGAATCAGTAATATGCTTTACAAACACATCTGAAAGAGTTCACTGAATGAAAGGTATGGAAATATCTCTTGATAAGAAAATGGTATGGTGAATATCATGGGCAAAGTTTATCAAACAAAAAGATGAATTGCTTTGTAAATCAAAATGGTTCAAGCTCGCAACAGAAAGAAGCCAAAATATTCTATATATGTGGATATGTACTATATATCCACATATATACCCTTTATAGAGATTCTTATCTCTATACTGACTTTATTAGCTAAGTATATGGCTATTTACTATATGGTTAGAAAGTGACTTGTGAGAACAACCATTCCTGCCACACTCAAATTACCCTGAAGAAACAGTTCATATATCCTCAGCTTAATCCATTATCCACTGTGACCTGCAGAACCCTGGACCACCTTGGTTTGAGTATTACACTGCATAGGGCTACTTTCCTTCTGGTTTTCCAAAGGTATTTTAATATCAGTATCAGGAGATTAACAATATGAAAGTATTAACATGACATATTAAAGTAGACTGGAGTTAGCTAGAACCACGAGAATTATCAGCATATTATTTAATAATTTCTGACCACTTACCTTGTAGCCTAATTTCACTTTGCTTTCCTTTTCACTTTTGGGGAAAAAGAAATAAAAACAGCTCCTCTGATTGGTTTTTTTTAACTTCTCATTTTTAAATTTTTGTGCAGAAAAATTCTCATAACCACCTACAATTTATATTTCTTATAAATGACCATACATCCTGTGCTGTGTATTTCTTAAAATAGATGTTATGATCTATTTTATTTATATAATCATTTATATACATAATTTATATGCATTCATCGTTAGAGACTAATTTACCACACCTAAGACACAAGGAGTCACCTTCTGCAAAATTCATCTAAGCAAATAAAAATAAACTGGAAAATATCCAGGAACAATAATATTTAATTTCTTAAAAAATTAGCCTCAGAGTCAATTATAAAAATTACATCATGGAACTCTAAAGCCATGTACAGGTTTTGGGTTTTATATGTCTATTAAAGAAGGATGATAAGTTGTTAAAATTTTTTTTCAAAGTTATTTTGAATCAAAATTTATTTAATATTAATTGCTTCAGAAATATTTTCAGGCACACATTTCAGCTTGATTTGCAAGCTTTCTTAATTAGTTTTACTCACAAATTAGGTGCTAACATAGTCTTAAGAAGATAAAAGTCAAGGGTATCATGTTTGATTGGTTCACAAAAATGAACAGTATCTCAAGGTGGCAGACTACATCCTGACTGTGCAGATCCATGAGCATGTACTTTATACTCGGAATGGTTCTTATAATCACCACGCCACTGAATTATGACTAAATAATTGCTTTAGAGTATTTCTAAACAGAAATATATTGAACATAATTATGCAAACATGACTAGAATTATTCTTATAGGATTCTAATCATGTATTAACTGGAATGTTGATGGCAGTTTTGATTTTTATTGACCTACAGTCTCTGTGTTCTATATGCCTTTGAACTTCATAATCCATAGTTTAGAGTTTGTACAGAGGATTACCTATGAAGTAATTTTAATATAAAAGTAAAAAATAATGTTATTCCAGTCTACTTTAATTGTCTGTTAGTCTCTTCAGTCACCATGAAGCAGTATTTTGCTGCTGCTTTTAAACACTTATGTATCTGAAAGTATTTAGCAATGTACATAACGTTTTATTTTAATTTTTTTTGACTTTTGATTAATTTTCCAACTTACTTACCTCTTTTCCAGCCTCATCTTTACCTCAGCACTAACACATATGTCATGTAAAACTAGCATAAATTACAGTGTTGTTACTTTTAAAACTTTTAAATTCTAAATTGAAATGTATAATATGCTTGCAAATGTCAAGGTTTACTCTTAATAATCGCTTTTTAAAATTGATTGTAAACTTGTTTTTGAGTTTTATATTATTAATATTATACTTTGGGCTATGATCATAGATTTTCATTCCTTTGAGAATTAAGAAAATTATATTTTCTTGTATTTGCAGTGACACATATTCAGTTCAACAAACATTTAATTTAATAAATTTTTTGGAGAGGTTTTTGCTATATGGTGCGTGTGCTCGCTGGAAAGACAGAGAGATAGAAAGTGAGAAATCACCCCCCCATGGGGGATGACCACACCACAATAACTTCTCCTCCTTCTCTTCTTGGGATCTTGGGCACGCACGCACATGCCTGGCGTCAGTTTAAGCCACCGGGTTCGGGACTTGAACCGCGCTGACTACATGGGAGTCCAGCGACAGAGCCATTACACTAACTGCTGGTCCCTAATTTAGTAATTTTTAAAAAAAAGTCTTGAATTACTGGATCTATACTATCTTGGATAATATGAAAGAAAAAAAAAGAACTATTTCCAAGAATATATTCAAAGATTAAGCTGGCTATAATGACAGAGTTTAAATGTCTTCTAAAATGTACAGACTGGCAAAACTAATGTTTATTCTGGACTTTGTGGATTTGCCAGAAAAAGTTAACAGTGTGGGGAACTCCATACACAGATATAAAAATTATCTCATAACTATAGATAATTAAATTATACTGAAAATTGAAAATGTGGAAATTCTATACCAATTGTTATAACCAATTTAAAATTTAAAATATTTAATATTTCTTACTCGATTTTAAACAAAAATTGAAAATATCCATATGTAAAGATAGAGAAAAGATAGTCTACCCTTTGTAGAATAACAAAAAAATTATGTTGGTATATTAAATAACTAATATTTGAAATATCACAGGAAAATGAGTTTGAAAGTGGCTCCCCTAAAGGAGATACTACTTATTTAATTAGAACTACTAAAATAATTTGTTATGTCACTAAAAGGAAATATTTTTACTTCTGCTTCCACTTATGAAAAATACATATCAGAATTTTCTGATATTACAGTTGTCAAACTGCAGATCTTCTAAAATGAAGGGAAGAATATTCAGTATTACCATTTTAAAAATTAGAAATTTTAAAAATCTAAAATGTATGCCCATAATTGATGAAAAAACTATCCATGTCACAATGTACTGTATGAATGTATAAACTTCTTTTTAAAATCCTGCTAATACATGTAATTTACTAAACTTAAGAAGTAAGTTTTTTCAGCCTTACCCAATAGGCCTTGAAACAATAATTTCAACTTGAGGTTCTGATTTTGATTCTAAAATAATGTTGTAAACTTCTTCATTTGTAGCTCCCGGCAGGGGTTTACCATTCCATTCTAGAACTTCATCCCCTTGAATTTAAAAAAAAGGGTATTTTTTTACCTTATATATTCTGTTTATTTTCTTATCTTTTCTCTTTTTTAACAAAGAAATGCAAAACATATACAAATAACTTAACTGTCTAAGCTCTGCTCTCAAAAGCAAACTGACTACTATAAAATGTCAGCTAAATGGTTTTTCTAGACACTTTCGTCTTTTCTTTGTTTCTATTCTTTCCCAGAATATTACTGGTCACTGGAAAGAGTACAATTCAAAGCTACCTTTATCTTTTAGAAATACCAGAAATAATATAAAAATAATCTCATGCTATGGGATGAAATTAGCACAGCTTATTCGGAAACATTAAAAAATAATAATTAGCAGCATGCCCTCCATAAAAATGTAGGCGGCTCTATAGGCAAAAGATTGTCTCTAAACTGTACATAAATTCTGTTCTATTTTTGGTACAAACAGCAATTCACACTGGTTAGCATGGATTTTCCAATTATAAATCATGCTTCATTGTCTTCACCTGATGCACAACAGAATAAAAATGCATGAAAGGATTTGAATTAACACCCATAGGGTAACGCAGGTAGCTATGGCAAAGTTACAAAGCAAGCAGATGTAAAACTGTTGCATGACAGTTAACCCACTTCCAGATGTTCAAAACACTTATACTCTATACATAATATATAGTTAACATTAAAGTACAATAGAAAATATTTCCAATAGTAAAAAAGAGTTGAACTTAATTTAAAAGGTATTCTAAAATTAATCAGAACAGTAGAATTATGTTTCATTAAGAAAACACAGACTAACAACTTAGAGTTGGTATTTTAACCAGATTAGTCATGGTAGACTTTTTGGCAAAAAATAAATAAATAAGTAAGTAAATAAATAAATAATTACAGGAAATTTAGGTTCCAAATGGCTCTTTGTCCAGGACTCTTCAATTCACAATGGTGAACTCAGCTAAAACATCCTTCCTTCAGTGACACACTGAGGTATCAAGTTTAAGTATCCTACCCTCAATGACTTGTTGAGGGTATCAAAGTTTTGACGTTCATGCTTATTACGTTGCTCTTAGAACCTAAAACATTTTAGTAGCTAAGTGAATGTGCACTGAACTAATGGATCAGTATCATCATTATACATTTTAAAGTTAGGTAAAAGCATGAAATCTTTAGTTCTCAGCCAGTTCTTTTTTTTATAGAAATAGGAAAAAATGTGCTTTACTAGGACTGTTTTTAAGTCACCCCCCCCAGGTGTTTGTCTACTAAAAAGTAGAAAGTAAATATGTGAAACACACAGGATGCTGCTTTAGTTTGGTGAAATAGCAATGGGCACTATTAATACTTAAATGACTTCTAATAGTCTGTTAAACAGTTACCTAGAAAAGTTTTTCAAATAGACAATAAATATGCTTCACTGTTAAAAAAAAGGAAGGAAGTAATTATAAATTTCCAATATATTACAAGTGTTTTCAAATGCTTTTGACCCAAAATGTAAGTGTATATTATTACCCAGTGCACATACATAGAATGAATATTTATATATGTATGTGTGTGGGGGTATATATATATATCCTGGAAATATATTTTATGAAACAATACTTACCCTGATATTTTATATTCTATTATGTTCTATTTCATTTTTTAAAATGATAGATGCAAATATTAGACTGTTTTTCAAAGAAATGAGTTGGAACCAGTATTTTGCAAAAGCACTGCATTATAAAATTTTCCTCTTTATATACAACAATCTGAACGCATATCTTTTAATACCAATTAACTTAGTAGATAGTTTATCTATAAATGAATAATAACTAAACCAGAAATTAGTCTCCTTAACGTGTTTATTGATAATGGATACTCTCTTCAGACAGGAATGTAAACAATAAAGGTACGAAGGTGACAATCACACTTTATTATCTTTAAATCTGGTGGTGCAGAATTAATATAGAAACCAGTAACTTTAGGAAAATATGTTTTAAGCCATGATAGTAGTTCATTTGAGGAACAGAATGAGTCAACTGTTGCAAGGGAGGTAGGAATTAGTTGCTGCTCCTGGTGAGTATCAGTAACCACTTCAGAATTAAGGCACTTGTGAGTTTTGAAGGATGAAAAGGATTTCAGCAGGCCAAGCAGAACAACAACCAGGTAGACAAGAGGCACTGACCAGTCTTCTAGGTGGGGGACAGCTTGCCAAAGATCTATAAGTAGACTGACATAGCTTGAAGGCTTTAAAAGTTAATAGAGGATAAAATTACAGAACATTGACTTGAACAGATGATGACAAGGAGACACCAACACATCCAAATAAGAAGGGTGTCAGTGTCAATTCTGTGTTTTGTATGTATCAAGTAGCAATAGAGTGCACAGACTTGAAGGGGGGAAGGCTGCAGACAGCTATGGAAGGATTGCAAGGTTGTAAATGTTGAATAAAGGTCACCCTGATGAAAAATAACACTGTAGTTTTATAGGGTAATGATATTTATATGCAAACAGAAGAAAACCATTTTATAAATGATAATGTATACCAAATAGAATACAGAATTGAGTCTACAAAAACACTTTGCTTTCTTCAAAAACATCAGTTGCTTAAAGTTCTAAGTACATTTGTCTGTTTTATAGTTATTTAAGTTGAACTTTCAACATTTTAGATTTGTTTTTCTAGCTCTTAGGTCATGAGGGTGCTAAATAAAATTAATCACTAAGGGATATTTTATATAAAAAAACCCCTTCATTGAATTGTTAACCAATCGTCAATTAAAATACAAGGACAGAATCACAAGCTGTTATGTTTATAATCTCATCTGCAAATTCATGTTTTTAAAGTTTTATTAGCCATTGCGGGATTCTCATTTTTTAGTCAAACAAAGATTTGGTTTATTGACAAAGTCACCATAATTGAACTATTTTTCTTTTTAAATCATCACTGGTTCTTGGTGAGAAACAATAGTCTACTTCTACACATCAAAGTTGCATGTTAGATGGAGAAAAATCCCTGGTTAGAGTTTTCTCTCTATATGACACCTGCATATCAAGTCCATTAAAGAAAAGAAAAGTAAACAAAACAACAACAACAACAAACACCTAAAACGATTCTGGGCTGATATCCTAGTAATAAATTATAGTTGGACCTCTGTATCTATGGGGTTGTTTTCATGAGTGCTCAGCAGAGCAAAAGTACTTTTTAAAACAATTATGTCTGTACTGAATTATATTATTTCCTAAACAATACATATAAAAAGATTTACATAACATGCATGTTCTACAAGGCGTATAAAAAATCTAGAGCTGATTTAAAATATACAGGAGAATGTGCCTAGGTTATGTGAAAATGCTATGTTGTTTTGATAAGAGACTTGATCATCCACAGGTTTGGTATCTTCCCAGGGGTCCTAGAACCAATCTGTAAATATCAAGGGATAATTCTACATGAAAAATTATTTAAGAATCCTAGAATTTCTAAAGTGGTCAAAAATTATGATCTTAGGGTTTAAAAGTTGGAAATAAAGCCTGGGCATGTTCCGTGTTTTGGATTTTATTTCTCTATTCTACAGTTTAGCCAACTTTGTTTTCGTTATAATTGTGTGACAAATGCTCAGACACTGTAGCCAAAAGACTTTTACTAAACTCTGAGATGAAGTCGGATGGAGGAAATACGTTAATGTGATTTTAACAAAATGAAAATTAATAATTCACTGAAAACAGATTTTTAAACTGTGCTGCTACTGAAAAATAATATACCTAAACTAGATTTTAAATTGTATTGTTACTGAATGTTGGTGCATTTGAATTTAATAAATGATTTATGTCATGTTAATCTTGTAAAACAACCTAAATAAATCTCCTTATACCAAAATTAGCACATCTGTATAAGTACGATATATGTCACATAAAATTAACAAATATCTTATTACATAATCTGTGCAAGAAATGCGATTATGATCATGTTCTTTAGAAAAGCAGTACTCCTTAATAAGTGTTTTGGGACTACCATAAAAAATTCTAGTAATTACCAAATATTAAATTATAAACTAAAAAGAGTGATATAAAAATTTTTTTCACAAAGCTGTCACTACAGATTTGAAGTTTTATAGCCATTTTTGAAGTCACCTATAAAAATGAGTAATGTGTCAGTATTTTGCCTCTATTTTACATAAATAAAAAACTACATTCTTACTCTCTCTAAATTATTTCTGATACATAATTACATATTACTGCAACTGGTAAGTATTCATATCAAGAAAAAAATCTTTATTCATGCATTAAAATTAGTGACATAAATGACATAACTAACTCAAAAATTGAAAATCATTAAGTCATCATGAAAAACACATTGTTTAAATGTTAAAAAAGAACCTTTACCTGCTCTTAGGTGTCCGACTACATCTGCTAGGCTACCCTTCTTTACTTTGGTGATGAAAGCACCCAGGCGTCCTAAGTCAGTCATTTTTCCTCCAACAACCTGGATAATTACAAATTTATAAGTTCCCAAGTGTCATTTTGAAATACGAGATTATTAGGTAGAGGAATCAATTAGCTTGTCCTTTTATAACATATTTAGAATTAAAGGAGTCCGCACAGTAGTAAAGTTTTAGGAATTAATAAAAAAAGGACGCTGTATGTGAGATGAGCATGTGTTCTAAGAAGTCTGCATCCTGATTCCTGATAACAGAACAGTAGCATGACAGATGTGCATTCAGGGCTAGAGGGTGGCACAATGGTAAGACTACTGGACCTAGACGGGAAAGATCTTGGGTTTGTGTGCAGAGATCTCTGGGAGCATGCTGAGCACACTCAGGCCTGTGATTCAGGCCAGCTGGTGATGGATCACAGGGGTCTTCCTCCCTCTCTTTCTCTCTGGGAATTAAATTAGTAATTGAGCACTTAGAGGACAGGTGTCAGGTTCTCCCCACTTACTTTCAAACACATAGTGTTTTAACAGTTTTCATTATGGCTTGTTTTTCCTTTATCTTCCAAATTCATGCCTATCATTTGAATTACTATTTCCAAATAAATATAATGCCTTGCTATCTCATGAGATCTTGATCTCTTTTATATATATGTGGTGGTCTTCAGCTCAAAGGCCTTAAAGACATTCAAGCCAAGAACAGGTCACTTTTGGGAAATAATTTATCCTGGTGCAAAGCCTAAGATTATTTCTGCAACTGACCACTTGAATGCTCTTCTCATCTGAAATATGTAAGGAGATTTCCAAGAGTTTATGGGAAAATGGAATTGAAATATGATAAATTTTAAATCTATGCATAGATTTTTCATAATATGTATTTTGCATTAACTGTTTGAAGATGCCCTCTTTGCCCAGGTAAATCTCAAAATCTGAGTTATATTGCTGGATGTTTAACACTTTTACTTGGCTTTTCTACTATACCAAAAATCAAGTATATCTGAAAAGATGCTATGTTTAATTTCTTCCAATTTAGGGGCTCAAATATACATAACTAAAATGAGTGGGGGAGCCAGTCATGTACTGAAACAGATAAGCATTATGAACTTGTAGCCAGATCTCACATGACCAACAATGGTTCAAATTCCAGACCCTGCAGCTTGAAAAATCACCAGTCATGTGTATGTTTTACCCAAGGCCACAATGGCATGAAGAGACATAGGAAAAAGGACTGAAGCACGACCAGGCCTCATTAAAGGGTGCTTTCTCTCTCTCTCTCTCTCTTTCTCCCCCCCCCATCTATCTCTGGGGGAGCCAGTCATGTACTGAAACAGATAAGCATTATGAACTTGTAGCCAGATCTCACATGACCAACAATGGTTCAAATTCCAGACCCTGCAGCTTGAAAAATCACCAGTCATGTGTATGTTTTACCCAAGGCCACAATGGCATGAAGAGACATAGGAAAAAGGACTGAAGCACGACCAGGCCTCATTAAAGGGTGCTTTCTCTCTCTCTCTCTCTCTTTCTCCCCCCCCCCATCTATCTCTGGTGAGTGCATGCACCCTCTGGCAATTAAAAAGTACATTTAAAAGAAAGAGTAAAATATTATTGGTTGGAGTTGACCCACAATTCTTGGCAGATATAAGATTAGTGAAAATGATCAAAATTATTTTACAATAAGAAAAATTAATTGGAATGATCAATAAGAGCATTTTCAAGTACACTTACTGAATTTTATTTTTAGTTGAACAAGTGATTAATAGTTTTTAATCCAGTTATCAAACAACTGTAATGCAATCTTGTGATTAACAATAGCTTTAAAGTAGCATCTTTGAATGCTTTTTAAATTTCTTTTTTTTTTTTGGAGAGGTTTTCGCTATAGGGCACGTGCGCTCGCCAGACAGATAGAGACAGAGAGACAGAAAGCGAGAAATCACCCCCCAGGGGGGATGGCCATGCTGCAATCCCTTCGCCTCCATTCTCCTCTCAGGATCTTGGGCACGCACGCACACGCGCCCGGCATGACTTTTAAGCCACTGGGTCTGGATGCAAACCGTGGTCGACTACGTGGGAGTCCAGCGACATAGCCATTACACTAAGTGCTAATTCCCAATGCTTTTTAAATTTCTGAAAGCAAGTTAAACCATGTGATTTAACACACATACACATCACACACATAATATATGTTTCTCTGTGTGTATACTTCTCTACGATAACAATTAGCTTTTAGTAATCTATGATTTGCTCATTCTATTTGTTACAACAGTATTATTTAAAGATACATTTTACTGCTTTGGTACTACCATAAATATTACTGTAATTAGAAAACAATATCTTCCACAATTTTTTTTTCCTTAAAGACAGGGTCTTGGGGTCTGCAAGTGGCATGATTGATGGCTAAGGCACTGGACTCCCACACGGCCAGCTGTGTTTTTAGCCCTAGACCTGGAGGCTTTCTTTCTCACTTTCCCTCTCTCTGTCTCTTTCTCTCACTCTGTCTCTCTCTGGTGAATGCATGCAGGCTTTAAGAAATTTTAAATAATAATGATAATGATAAAAAAAAAAAAGACAGGGTCTCACTGTCACAATCCTCTTCCCTCACCCTCCCAGCTGGGATTACTGGCATGTGCCACCACACTGGGTTGTTTTCTGTTTTTGTTTGTTTGTTTGTTTTTGGTAGACAGAGCCTCCCTGTGTTGCTCAGGCCAACCTCAAGATCATTACCCTCCTGCCTCAACTTCTCCAATTTGCTGGCATTATAGCAAATTTACCTAGCCCTCGGGTTGACTGGAAATTACCTAGGCATCTGGGGAGCATGGCATCTTAACATTACACACCACTCAGGCTGAGCCTAAGGTCTTTTTCTAAAAAAAAAAAAAATAATAATAATAAGTATTTATTAATTAGTATTATTATGTGCTATAAGTCACATGTACTCACCAGAGAGACAGAGAGAAGGAAAGTAAGAAAGCAAGCCGCCAGATCCGGGACTCAAACTGCAGTCAGCTATGTGGGTGTACAGTCCCTCAACCATAAGATTTTATGAGGATTAAATAAGACAGTTCACATTGTCTTCCCCTGAGCCTTGCTTAAAGAATGTGCTGAAATTGTGTTGCCAATTATTGATAACATCTGTTATTTTTGTTTAAGTTGAAGATGGCTAGCTTTTAATGTAATAGTCTTTATCATATTAGAGACCTCTTTAAAATCCTAGTTCGTAAAAAGCTTTAATCAAACTTCAAGAGAAGTTTTACATGTTGACTAATTTTTACTATAAAATGATTGTTTAAATTACTTAATGAACTGATAGAAAGCATCATTGAGTCCCACTTGCCCTTCCCCATTCATGTGAGTTAATGTCCCGTTCTCTGCCCCTCCCCCTTTCACCCAAAGCCAGCCTCCTCCACTTCCACACACTGGAGTGTGGAGATGGATGTTTGTGTACCAAGGTCTCCATGTGCTCGCCATGCACACACACAAGTATGTGCCTGTGATCATGGCCGGCTGCGGTTAAGGTGGATTGTGGCTGGGGGTGTTGGTATCTCTTTCTCTTGTCTGTCTAAATCTCTCATGAAATAAACACACTTTAAAAAATTTAAAAAAAAAAATTAAAGTCTTTTGAAAGTAAAAATTGCACATGAACTTTATATTCAGAGAAAAATACCTCAGTTTTCATGCATTTTATTAAATTTTCCTACCACATCTACACATTAATACTTTGACTTAAAACATTAACCCAAGGGCTGGCAGGTGGCATAGTGGTTAAGGACACTGGACTCCTACATGGCCAAATGTGGTTCAAATCCCGGAACCAGTGGCTTTCACTATCTCTATCCCTCTCTGGTTTAACTAAAATAAATAAATAAATAAATAAATAAATAAAGTTAAATAAAATAAGTCTTTAAAAAATTATCCCAGATAAAAATATTACATGTACTATAATATATTAAAATATTAACATGATATGAGGGGGTCTTCAAAAAACTTCTTGTACAACAGATATTATATTTCTTTGGGTGATGGCCACGCGTCACACCACAATCCCTTCTTCATTTCTCCCCCCTGTTGGGATTTAGGGCATGCACATGCACCAGCATGTTCTTTAAGCCTCTGGGTACAGCTCAGACTGCGCCTTCAGTCATGTGGTATCTAGCTGCCTCAACCATCATTTAGTCTTAAGCACAACTTTCTGAAGTCCCCTTGTATACTCATTAGAGAAATGTGCGTGCGTCACACCACAATCCCTTCTTCATTTCTCCCCCCTGTTGGGATTTAGGGCATGCACATGCACCAGCATGTTCTTTAAGCCTCTGGGTACAGCTCAGACTGCGCCTTCAGTCATGTGGTATCTAGCTGCCTCAACCATCATTTAGTCTTAAGCACAACTTTCTGAAGTCCCCTTGTATACTCATTAGAGAAATGTGCGTGCATATGTGTGTGTGTGTGTGTGTGTGTGTGTGTGTTTTCTGGAGATGAGAGGAAGATATTTAAAAATTATTGTTGGAAACTTGGTTAAATGCAATCCTTCTGTAGTTCACCCTTCAAGATGAGGATACTTACTTTCAGACCCAGTAATGCACCTGATTCTTTGGGCATGGTTGTTCTCTTGTTAAGAATAACACGCCCAATTAGTCGGTCTCCCTCTTTAGACGGCTGCCACGTCACAGGATGCTATTATAATACGAATAAAATATAAAAAGTAAACAATTAGCTTTCTTTCCTAAAGATAAATAATGATTCGTTATAGCATGATTCAGTTTGCTCAGTTAAAAAAACTACTGCAGATGAAATTTTTTCATTCTGTTGGACTCTATCCTTGGCTTAGAATGATTTTCACTTAGAGCTGATTTTATTTGCACTAGACACTACAATATATGCTTCTAGAAGCAGACAGCAACTAACTACATCTCTTTAAAAAATAGTTCTGAAATGGAATTAAATGAAATTTTAAAATACATCTGGTTATTTAAAGAAAATCAATTCTGTATTTTGAGTTGCTGATCTCAATGTACTTAAGCAAAAAAACAATGGGATTTACATATAAACATTTTACTTAACTTAAAATTTGTTATAATTACTCAGTGGTATCTTATTTTCTTTAAAAAGTACTATCAAATAAAAATCAGTATTAGCTTTCATCGATTGTATAATAGAGCAGAATAAGGTAATTCCCTATTACTTTGCTTATCAGATAAAGAACAATGAGTAACACATGTAAGCCCTGAATGCCAAGCATTCACTTCCCAGAAAGCTTACCGAACTGATAGGTGATGTTTCCCGGCTATGCCACGTGGCAGGATCCAGCCAGTAATAATCCAAGTCACCTGCACAGTAAGAAAAGAAGGAAGAGTGTAATGGCATTAAAAAGGAGACTGCACCACTTCAGGCATACTTCTTCAACCTATAAAGTAAAGCGTGATGACCATTACATTCTGCGTGTACGTCCCACAACGACACACTCGGGCTGTGGTGGTTGCGACTCTCATCACTGGAATGACGCTACCGACGGGCTTCACACAATAGAAGAGCTGCCTTTCTTTTTCAGCCCTCAGCCCAGAACACATACATATAAAAGTACAGGAAAGGACAGGGATAATCCAACCCTGAAAGGGAATATTCATATCAAGACACAGTCTGCCATCTGGGGATGCTAGCTAAAATTTGATTCTTTGAACTGAGATAAGCATTAAAGTTGAACATCTTCCTTTCTCCTGTTCTAAACTATATCACATTTTCCAAAATTATTCTATGGTCTGTATTTTCCCTCATCCACTAAAAAACGTGATACATATTTTCAAGAAATAGTGATGAATAAATTACATACTAAAAGTTACTTTTAGCAAAAGAGTACATGATAAAAAATTCAGTTTACTAAGCCATAAAGAATGTTAAGTGTTAACTTGGTAATCGTGAATATGTTAATCTTTATCTTTTTGTCTTTTTGACCTAAAAACATAACGTCAAAAAAAGTGTTTGAGAAAAAAAATAATGGAAACCCACCATGCTTTTAATGAAAGGCCAGAGAAAAGGTGGGTAACCTATGTAAGAATAGCATCTTAGGGAAGGCAGGGGAATGACCAATCTTTTATATTTTAAATATCAGATTAACTCAGTGAAAAATTGGTCTTAAAAAAGAAAGAAAAATAGAGTTAACATGCCAGCTAACAGTGAGATTTCGAGCTAACTTTTGGACAATATACTTGGCTGATACAGGGGAAGGTCATAAGTAAAGAATTTTATATTAATGATACACAGAGCAGATATAGGCACTGTAAAAGAAATATGATCTAAAGTAGTTTTTTAAATGTATAGTTGCAGTTCTGAGGAGCTACATCCCTTTAGCTTTGACATGTCATAGGAAAATAGAAAGCTAATGCTTGATCCACGGCAGTAAACACTGAAACGTTCTTCAAATATGCCATATAGGCAACAGTAGCATATTTTATGCAGGGGCCAATATTAGGCGTTACATTAAGCAAAAATGATATTCCCTTAAAGTTTACTTCCCATGAAGTATCTATATCAAAATCACATACTTTAAAATATATACCTAGCTTGGAACTGAAGATTATATAGCTTTCTAAACTCCTATTGGACCACTTCAATTATTGGAATGTACGGAAGTTTTATTTACTATTTATAAAAATTTCACAAACTAACTTTTAAAAATTCACTCTATCTTGGGCACTGGTCCTCTTGAATAAAATATTTATAATAACAAGAAAATTGAAATTACTATTAATACAAATGTTATTATTCAAAAGGTGATTAATGCAATTTATAAATATTTCACCCAAAAATTTCATATACCTAGCAATAAGGCCTGATGACTTCTTAAATGATGATTCACTCTGAAATACTGTTATAAATTAATAGAACCACTGAGATATTTATCAGGAGGGAGGTTATATTTCCAGGAAGAAGATGAGATTATCATTAAATTGAAAACTGCATTTTAAGCCTCTGAAAGCCCAGCTGTGTGTCACAGTGGTAATGCTAGCACCCCACAGTGCCAGAAGCCATATGGTGAAAGTGGTTCAGATCACAAGTCAGCCTGAGAAACACGCTGGGCACAGGTGGGGGCACCAAGGATTCAGAAGAGCTGGAGGGCTGAGGAAGACAGATCACAATATGACAAATCCCCCCTCCCCCCGGACGGTGCCTGGTGCCCACTCTCTCTCCCCTCTCACCCTTCTTTCACACATACACATGACTTTCAGTCATTTAAAAAACAAAAACAAAAACAAAAAAAAGAAAGAACAGAAAAAGAAAGGAGGGGAGAAGTCTTTGAAGTAAAAAAATGACAAAAATTCATCCTAGGATTTCAAGAAAACACAGTTCATAGTATCCTTCAATAACTTAAAAGAGTATTTCCTGGGATCCTCTGGCTCTTGTTTCACTTCCTCATATAGTGTGGTTCAAATTTATGTTTCACTCACTGTGTCTTAAATAGATCTAATACACATATCTGGTAAGTATTTCACGTGCAAAAAACATTCTCTATAGTCAAAGGACCAAAAGCAAGTAAACCTGGTAAAATTCAGTAATAAACCCATCCATACTCTATTGTGAAATACTGCTTTCAACCAATGCATTCTATCCTCCATAAGTTTTGTAGGATGATTTTGAACTGAAAATCCAATTTGACTGATTTTATATTGGATTGTCAGGTGATTCCAATGTGTAGTCATCACAAAGTGTAACATTATCTTGTGGTAACAAGGATGCTACAAATTTTGTAACTTGAATTTTTGGTTCATATGTAGTATTGTAGATATTTACCAGCTATTGCTAAGAAATGTAAATACAAAAAATGCATTCCGTACTTTTGCATACAATAATATTTGTATATATTTTAGTATACTATTGTATCTCCTTCAGATTCTGAATGATTTCTAATGGTTTTCTTTTCTTTTGAGAGAGATTTTTGCTATAGGGCACATGAGCTTGCCCCAGAGACAGAGAGAAAGTGAGAAATCACCCCCTATGAGGACGCCATACCATCTATTCTCCTTTCAGAATTTTGGGCACGCACACAGTGTGCCTGGCTTGAGTTGTAAGCTGCTAGGTCCAGGATTTGAACAGCTGTTGACTAAGTGGGAGTTCAACAACTTAACCATTACTCTATCTGCTGGTCCTTTTTTTTTTAAAGGTTTTTGCCATGGGGTGCATGCACTCCGCAGAGAAACAAAGAGAGACAGTGAGAGGGAATGTGAGAAATCATCCCCCAATCTCTCAGGATTTGGGACACACATGCATTGTGCCTGCCATGAGCTTCAAGCCACCGGGTCCGAAACTCAAAGCATAGTCAGCCATGAGGAAGTCCAGTGCCCCAACCACCACACCATATACTGGCCCCTCTAATAGATTTCTAATCACTTAACCTCATTATAACTTATTAAAATGTAACACTCTTGCTTAAAGACTTACAAAACAATTCTAAAATATGAATATATAGTTTGAAACTTTATTGGTTCCTAATATCCATGTACTTAATAACTTGGAATGATATTGACTTTTAAGTACTCTAATCTTTATATAACTCATATTTCCCTATAATTAATGGAAAAAGCAACATTCAAAAAAACTTACTCCTAATATACTGAGAATCTAGTATTTAGGGTCAGCGTGTGGCAGGATGATTCAGACATTGAACTCCCACATGGCCAGTCACAGTTCGAGTCCCAGACCTAGCAGTTTGTTTTCTCATTTTCTCTCTCTCCCTCTCTGGTGAGCACATGTTCCCAATAGCAAATTAAAATAATATTGATAATAAGAATAATAAAGAAAATGTAATAAATAATTCTAAAAAAGGGAATCTAGTATTTCATTAATACAAAACATTTTCCTTGACTATTTTTCTCATAGATGACTTAAGACATTGATTGCCAGGTGGGATAGCCACATGATAAATCCATGGTATCTAAATGGTCTAACCAGGGGACATATTGGCTGCTTGAGTCCCCTGAAATATCTGCAATACCTAACTAGTCAAGTTCAATGAAATGGCATACTTTTAAACATTCTTTTTCATGAAGAATTTTAAAACAGACTTTTCTCCTGTTCCTTGAAAAAAAAAGAATCGGTTAATTAAATTTAGTCAGCTAAATGACACATGGTCATCTGTAAAGAGATCTAGTTTTTCCTAAACCAAAGTCATTATGATTAAAGTATTTAACAATGTGCAAATGTACATCTCTGTGATTTAAAATTTTATATATTATGATGTGTAATGTCAAAGTACAATAGATTCCAATATGACCAATCATTATGAGTTTGAACAAAAATGTTTTCTAAATAATTCAGATGCATTATTGAACATATATAAATATATTAAAACTGTATGAAAGCCAAATCTCTATTTTCATAGATTAAGTATCTATTTACCAACTTATGTGACAGTTATATTTAATCAAGTACAATATGTACCTAAGGAGCAGGCAATGAAGAGGTAATCTCCACAAAAGCCTTAATGTATTAGAAAACTGAAAAATTTTGGCCATCTCCAAAATAATAACAGCTTATTTTTATTGCCATTATAATGAATTGAGATAAAAAAATGGAACTTAAACCAAGTCTAAGACTGACTCACAGTAACTGCACAATTTCTAACACATACCCATAATTATGCTACTTGTCATCTTAAAAAAATAAATGGCTCTTCCTACATAAACTAGATTATTATCATTTAAAAAAATGTTAAGATCACTGACCAAAAAATCAGAAGATTCATTCTTGCCAGATATTTCCTAAGCTTCTTAGATTTTTTCTATTTATTAATATTTTTAGTCATCTGTGGGAAGCTATGTATCAGAATTAAATAAAAGTAGGTAAATCCTAAACTGTTTTATTACAGCACAACATATGTACAAATTAAAACTGCACACAATTATGGGGGACCAGCAGTTGGTGTAATGGCTATGTCACTGGACTCCCATGTAGTTGATGGCAATTCAAGTCTTGGACCCAATGTCTTAAACTCACGTCAGGCACGTGTGTGTGCACCTAGGATCCAGAGGAGAATGGAGGAGAAGGGATTGCGGTGTGGCCATCCCTCCTGGGGGTTGATTTCTTGCTTTCTGTCTCTCTGTCTCTCTGTCTCTCTCTGCCTTTCTGGTGAGTGCACCCACCCTATAGAAAAAAAAAAAAAACAACCTCTCAAAAAATTACAATTATGGAATGTATGCATGTATGCATACGTATACATGCAGTGAATACACAAAGTAAACTCAGTTCTGGTTTGTAGGACAAGCAGATGGCTTAATGGCTATGTTGCTGGACTCCCATGTAGCGGACCACGGTTCGAGTCCCAGACTGGTAGCTT